AAAACAATTGCCAGATGTAAGAACTGGTCTTCTTCTGGTATAATTTAGTTGTCAAAGCTGTGTCTAGGGGCCTGGAAGTATAGAGGGAACTGCCAAAGAATAGTGTGTGTTCTGAGTTATTGAAAGAGGAGTACCTAAAGCTTCTCCAACTAGTCATGTTTGGATGGATACTGAATTTCTAAATAAAGTTCTATTTTAACCCTACCCAACACTGCTCAAATGATCTTGTTCACAACTTGCTGTTGTTTCCGTAGAACCTTAATTTTTGGTCCTTTTTTGTCTCTGATTACTCTAAAGCCTCAGTCTAATTCCATTTATTTTGCTCTTTTAATTATGGTGGGGAGCAATTGTCAGGTAATAAAAAGAATGTTAAAAGAAGATTGATTTTTGTTACTTTTGACTTTGATTTGCGTTGTTGTGATGTGTTAATATAAATTGTACTTGAATTTGTAATTAAAGAAGTAAAATTAAAGGTTAGGGTAAAATAGCTTTTCATTAAGGTCCAAAGTTGCGGCAGGTATCGCGGTATCGCATGTAATTGCAAATATTATAAAATTGGGGAAATGAAAACTGGAAAGTAACATAACGTTATGATGACGTTAGATATGTGCAATAATGTAATTCTAAACCATTTTTTATAGTTTGGAAATTTTTTATTTTTTACAAGTTATATCAGTTCTCATTCTAAACTTTCTATTTCTTGAATTCTAAACTGAGATAGTTACAATTTTTACTAATTCACCTGCTAATTTTAACAATAAATAATCTAAAAATTTTCTAAAAATTCATTAAACTAAGTATTTGTACAAAATTAAGTTTAATTACTGCACAAAGTTGATCATTAAAAATAAAAATGGCAATAAACGGATAACATAATATGGTCACTGATTTTAGGTTGTAACTCGATCATGAGCAAATTTGTTGATTATAAAATATACATTTACACGTAGTTGTGAATATTTTTTTCAACAATTCTTCCAATCAAAACTTATCCATAAGGAAATTGTAATATTTTTTTAAAGTTTAAAGTAAATAATGTAATATTTATCCAAAATTAAAGTGTAATTTGAATTTGAAAGTTGGAGGTAAAAATTGATACACCTTATTAGGTTGATGGTTAATTGATCTTTTTCTCTTTATATTTTTATTTAATTGTTTATTAAGTCACTGTCAAGATGTTAGTTCACCAAATAGACTAAGCAAATGCCTAATTAACTAATGGTAGCAATTAATTAATAGTCAAATATTGACCGATCAATAATTAATTTTTAATTTAATAATTTTTCAATTTATTTATGTTATCAGTTGTTATTATTAGGGGTGAGAATCAGAATAGATTTGTTTATGGGATCGGTTCAATTAGTTCAATTCTTGTTGAACAATGAAATTTTTAAGGTTAAAAATTAAAATTTTAGAACCCAGCGCGCATAGTTTAACGAGTTAAAACACTCGTCTCCTACCGAAACATAATTTTGTAGGATTGTAGCTACTCAATTTTAAAATTGTCTAAAAAATCTTTAGATTTTCAATTACAATCAAATAAATCTCAAGTTTAAAAAGGTCTTTAACTTTCAATTTCATATCAATAGGTCCTGACCTTTTTCACCATTTTTTATAAAATGACACTTCATTTGCACCTTAGGGTGTCGGCGCAGTAGCAAGAGAGTTGAGTATAACATCCAAGATTCAAGTTTAAACCCTCTTGTGTCTAGAAGTCGAAAAAGAAAAATGAGACTTTAGAAGTTTAGTTTGATTAATTTTTCAAAAACTTCTGCCCTGAGTTATTATACTTGTTGGGGATTATTGTTTTATGACTAAAACATATTATTTTTAATTGAAATAATGGTTAATGCAGGATTATTTCCATAGACAATCAATAGTCCTTAATCAAATTTCAACCATTAATGGACTATTGATAATTAAATTAAAATAGGAAAGATCATTTCCAAAGCTTTACGTTCTTACTAAAGTCAGCTACATTCTTACCAAAGGTCAAATTTGTATCATTCACTTGTGTGATACTCAGAAGAGAAAAAGATTCAATTAAATCATGAAAGTTGTCTACTCCTAGAAAAAGACAAATTAGCCTTGGTTATTTTTCCTTTAATTCATTCACAAGAGTAGTCAATTTTTAAGACACGTCAATTTATTATTTCTTTATAAACAATGGACTTTAGTTAATAATTTCGAGTGTACAATAACTTTAACCTTTACCAAGCAGTGGAAAAAAAAAAAAACTTTACCCAGCAGTTTTAGATCTTAGAACACTTAGTCCAATATCTTGATTAAAAATATTTGATAGGTTAGAATTTTCTTTCATCAAAAATATAATTAAAAAAGATGGAATAATTGACATATATATTCAATTAAGAAACTCTGAATTTGATCCGCACACCACCCATATATTGTACTCACCCTAAACTTCACGAGTAACGTATATCAACATGAATTTAATACAGTGGTAATTAACAATTATTTTTTTGTCAAAATGAAGGGTCATCCTTTTTAATCTCCCACCTCACATTTTATATACTATTTTTTTTAATGAGATCAAATCATTTATACACTGACACATCACTTTGACTAACTTTTGTTAAATTTAGAAATTTAAGCGAGTATGTGAGATCCCACGTGGCTAAATTAACAAGAAAAAAGAAAAGAAAAAGATGAATGGCCGGCCAATATAATTGTCGCGTCCATATATCAACTATTTCTTCTTGACTTAATTCTTTCAAAAATATCAATTAACATAATAGAATTATCTAATTAAAGATTTTATTAGAATTATATGGAAGCTAACAGAATTGGACTTCTTTGCCAACAAAGAAATAAATAAATAACAGGATTGGACTTGATCCAATTAAGAAAGACAATATAGCTCAAATAAATAAATAATAAAAATAAAATAAAGATTGTAATGTTCCAAACACGATTAAGACAAAGTCTCCATCATGAGCGATGCAGTGAGATTTGTTCATTGTGGTTTAATTACTTAATTTACAATTAATGTTTTGGGTCACATCCAATCCATAAGAATTCTTAATTAATTTCAATAAGTTGTTAACTTATTATTATTTTTTAATGTTACAGTTAAAGAGGTATCGTCAGCATGAGAGTCATCAATTTGCTTAACTAATACAATTGCCGAGAAGTCCCATTTCTTTATTTTAGAATTTGAAAATAAAACTATCAGCATTTGTTTTTTTAATAATTTTGACTAAGATTTTACAGTGCTTTAAAAAGCGAAATATGATGCTTAATTGGGAACCCTTTTTTTTTGACATATTTCTCACATATATTAACTTTAAAATTTTAACCTACTCCTAATAATGATAATTCATGCTTTATTGATTTTATTAAAATTAAAACAATATTCATGTTCTAAATACAGACTAGCCATGTTAAATTAAAAATATTCTTAAAATCATAATCAAATTTTAAAAATGAAAATTTAATTTAAAAAAAAACTTATATTTTGTTGTTCAAATGACAGCCAAATTTTCAAAATAACTTTTAAAACAAAACATAAAATCGCAATGAAAATCATGTCCTTATAATATAAAAACATGCATGTGTCACACATACACAAGTAAAAAGTTTGTAGTGGAACATAAAAGTTGTTAGTAGGGCACTTATTATCAAACAAATGGTAATTAAAAATCTTTCTAAGAAGTGTGGGGATAAAATTCAACAGATATGTGAAAAGGGAATAATAGCATAAGAAGAATGAAGTGGACAATGAGTAATGAGTAATGACAACGAAGGTGCTTTTGTGTGCGTGTGAGTATAAGATGGGGCTTCTCTCAGCAATGATGATCTGCTAGAAAAAAAAATTACACATTTTCTAAAAACGAAGGACAACAGACACCAAAAATGGAGTTGACCTAATCATTCATACAGAGAATGAAAGAATGTGAAAATCCTAATACATTCTCGTCTACATTTTCCGCCACCACCCACTGAGACTGAATCATGAATCAGTCACCGCAACTTGTAAGTATATATATTCCTCTAGCTAGAATAGAAATGGGGATCATCTCAATATAAAAAGGGAAAATGTGGGCAATTAAAGTTTCTAGGTAAATGGGGGGGATTGGGAACTGGAAGCTGGGGTTAGGGCAAGAGGATGAGCCAAAAAGGGGATAAGATATTGGGAGGGGAAGAGAAAGAAGGAAGAACCATGGTTGGGGCTATTTGGAGAAAGGGCCTAGGGGGGGCAACAGATTTAGTATAGTGGGTTATAAACAAGAGTGGCAATATTAAAATGGAAGAGAGAGGGGGAATAAAGGTGGAAAAGCATGCCCTAGAAATTGGGGAAGGGGATGTATTGGTAATAGAGAGTACATCATTATTTATACGACATTGTCATATGTATGGGTTTATGAAAATAGTATAAAGAAGGGGAAAAGTGAAGGAGAATTTTGGCAGAGTTTGGAGACGGATTAGGAGGCAGAGAAATGTGAGTGGCTTTGTATGTGATGGTGTGGCCTGTGGGCTGTGGGTGGGTTTGATGATGGTGATGCACGCCGGCAGCTTTTCTTTTACCTCTCTCTCTCTCTCTCTCTCTCTCTCTCTCTCTTTCTTTCTTCTACCCAAAATCCAATTGGCACGCCTGCCTCCACTCACTCAATATAAACTCTCTCTCTCTCTCTCTCAAAAAGGATGAAAAGCTAATCCACTAACACCATTAATGATCTAGACGTGGTTAACTTTTTCTCACACTTTATCATCTTTTTGTCAGACCAGAATTCTATTTTCTAAACCACTCCATCTCCATCTCCATCTCCCCCTTCTCTACTTTTTACGCTACACAATGAGAATCCCAGCATGGCATGGTCAATATTAGATGTGGGATTACCCCATAAAAAGAATGAGCTATATGGCTTATACACACAAAACTGAAGAGTGAAGACCTCCCCCATTTCCCACTTTTCATTTTTTTTTTCATATTTCGATCATCGATTGCACCAAAAAGGCTTTAAAATAAAAACCCAAGACTTCCAATATCTCCCGCGCCCCGGTCCCCATCTCCTGATGATCTATCTATCTATCTGTGTGATATTATTTTAGAGATTAACCCACCTAAATTCCCAGTCTGAAACACACGTCCTCACTTTCCGTCCTGAATTTTCTCTGTTAAAAACGCATACGCACACACCGCCCCCCATAACAACTTGTTGTTTGTATGTCCAAAAACTAAAGAGATTCCGAGTTTTTTGATGTGGGTCTTAAATGGATACCTTGTTTCGGCTTGTCAATCTCCAACCTGAACAATCTTACAACTCCAGCAGAACCAATTCTAGCAGCTCTAGATCTTCCA